AATGCTCCCCACAAATTGATTGGAGCTTAATTTAAAAAAAAAAAAAAAAAACCTACCAATTCATCCTTATTCATGATTGAAAACCCTTCATTATCCCAAACACTATAGGGGGTGTTTGTGTTATTTAAAAAAAAATAAAAAAAATTGTCATATTCTCCAAATAGATTAGTTGGGTCATGCAACAGGCAAGAAAAGTCACCTTAATTATACTTTATTAGTGAAATCACTAAGCCATTTAATTCATACAGTGACGAAAGTTGCAGGTTTGTCATGTGATTTCTTTCTTATTTCTTCCTTGCTCTTTTGTCATAATAGCATCTTCATACAGTGACGAAAGTTGCCTGTGATTACCTGACCCGACTAACTTTCTTTATACAGTGACGAAAGTTGTATGTGATTACCGCCTGTTTACATAGGGCGAGAACTTTGACAACAATGCCAGGGGCCGAGGCTTGTTTCTTGCTAACACTGGAGTTCGAACTGCAAATTAGAAGCTTCCTTGACCACTACTTCGATCACTGCCTGAGAAACTTCTCTGCTCGGATGAACAATTGTTGGAGGTCTTGGGTCCTGTGTTTTACGAATTGGAAATGGTAAATCATGTGTGACTTGGACACTTTTGGTTCTTCGTTATTTTTATTCTAGTATTTGTAGTTTCTAGGTTTGAACCTATGACCTCGTGTCTCCAATTTGGACTGGCAGATAGGCATAACTGGTTTGAACTGAGAATTCTCGTGGTTGCTATCTAGGATTGAACCTGGGTCCTATGTCTTTATTTTGAGATTTGTAGAGAAAGGCTTGAACCGTTGACGTTTTAGGCCTATGGAGAATGGGCCTCGTTGTCGGTTGGGTAAGTCCGGTATATACCCGAGGAGTCGGGTCAGTTCCGTCCCACTTGTTCACGATCTTTCTAGAACCGAGGACCTGTAGTAGACTTTGATAATTCAGTGAGCATAGATAGGTATATAGGTCTGTAGTTTTTAGTTGTTTCTTGCGCCAGGTACTTCGACCCCTGATGACGCCGGACAGGTGACCGACAGAAACACGATGTTGGGTCTTTTCGTCTGACAACGTTGTGCTTCATATTGTATCTTTCGAAATTACCTGCGCTCGGTTCTTTTCTTTTCTTTTCCACCTTCCTCCTGAGTGTTGTGCGTATGCATATTGCTTATCTTCGTGTTCGAGCTGTTATGTTTGAATACTAGACTGATGTTCGCTGCATTAGTCAACGCATGAACCGACGTAGCAATAGTACTACGGATGTGTGAATGCGACCTCCCTACTCTATTCTATCTATTCTATCTATTCTATCTACTCTATTCTATCTTCACCCAACTATTGGGCGGTAGATCTAGAAAGTTAACCCTGGCATATCGCAGCATATAGACTTACGAGAATCACATGGCTTGTTATGGAAAGCAAAGATCCTTCTGAGACTTCCTGACCTAAGACTTCAGCCAAATTATCCAAAACAGCCAAAACACTAGTCCATACCAAACCACCTCTGATGCACAAGACTCATTGAAGAGGGGGGAAGGGATCTGGGGAATTTTGAAAGAGGACGGAGTGGTACGGAGTCCATGGCTGGATCCAGGGTTGTCCAATCATGGAGCACCAAAGGATAGTCCATTTCCAATTCCCTTTGGCTCCCCCTTTGGGCCCCACTCCACCATTTATCACCTTTTTTTTTTCAAACAGCCCGAGTGGATGCTAGGGGTGCTGATAGGAGCAGGCACCGCTACCTTCTTCCCCCCAATACAACATACAGTCATTATAGCTATATATAGACTGAAAGGTACCCCAAATACAGCTATAATGACCGCACGTTGTATTCGGGGGAAGAAGGTAGCACTCCTGGGGAGGCTCCATCTATTGGTGGGGAGCAGCACCTTGTGGAAAATGGGTCCAGCGTCCTTGAACATTTCCGTTTCTCTTGGTGTACGCAGAATTACTCTCCTACAGGGCTGCCTACTGTAGATAATGGCATACCCAGAACCTGCCAAAAACAGATTCCCAGTATGGATAGCATAAGAGTCAGGCAGTAGCTGCTGGACTCTTCGATGGCCCAGTCACTGTACCCCTCCTCTAGTCCCCTTCCCCTACAAACATCAGCAGTCTCTGCTCAATGGCCTACCTCTAGGTGGCAGGCACCAAGCTTGCTCATGAAGGTACATGAAGCAAATGGGGATTAAACCCTAAACGTCTTGAACGCCACTTGCATGCTTTACCAGCTGACCTAGGCCGCTGGATCCTACAGACGTTTTCGGGTCATCCGTTTTTCTAGTCGCAGTGATTGGGACAATGTGGGCCCCTGCTCAAGGTTGACACGCATAAATTGGGAAATGTGGGACTACCTTGAACAACCCAGTTTTCTAGGACGTTTCTGGATGTGACGAACGAGCCCCTTCGAACGGGCCCTTCCTCTACGGCCACATTCGTACTTTCCTCAGCGCACCCCAGCGCAATCACTCCCAGATTCAGTCCAGAAGGTCCTACAGTAAGGACACGAAGGACTTTTGAGAGTGAAAATTTTGGGACAGCTGGTTTCAGAGACATCTGTACGAGTTCCGGTAGCAGCAATGCCTTGCGCCGGTCATGGAGATGCAAGGAGAAAGCCCAAGGCGGGGAAGGGGCGTGGGACTGGGGCTTCTTTGTTATAGTTCTCTGTTTTGCTGAGCGCAGTAGCAGAGATCCGGTTCACCCGATAGTGTGATTACGTTCGTCGATTGTGTTCAGATTTGGGCGCCACAGTCTCAACCCTGGTCGGGGTGGACTGCGCGAATGGTTTGCATTTAGCATTTACCACTAAGCTGGTCCAGACCGGAGGGGCGGAAACAGCCTTACAAAAAAAAAAAAGAAAAAAAAAAAGACAAAAAAAAAAAAAGAAACGGCCTTACAAGAAGTCCGCTCTCGTTCCCCCGTTGACTGCCTGCTTGGTCCCATTGCGTGCCTGGTCGATTCCCTGCTTGGTACTAATACCTGCATAATCCATTCCCTGCTTGGTTCCATTGGGTGCTTGGTCCATTCCGATCCGATTGCTTGGTCCCATTCCCTGCTTCCCTTCTTGGTCCCTTTCTCTGCGTGGTCCATTCCCTGCTTGGTCCCATTACATACTTGGTCGATTCCCAATCCTTTGCTTGATCCGATTCCCGCCTGGTCCATTCCCTTCTTGGTCCCTTTCTCTGCGTGGTCCATTCCCTGCTTGGTCCCATGGCATACTTGGTCGATTCCCGCCTGGTCCATTCCCTTCTTGGTTCCGTTGGCTGCGTGGCCCATTCCCTGCCTGGTCCATTCCCGTTTCCTGCACTGTCCCATTCCTTGCGTGGTCCTGCTTTTTCACGTCAGGGCAGTCAAACGGCTGGCGCCAAATGCGTGGCCGTGGTTTGTCGGCTTCCTTCCGCGTCGCACGCCAAAGCGCCCGGCCCGCTTCTCGGTGGGTTACCGGTTGGCCGGTGGCGCTTTCCAGTGTCTCTAGTGCCACCGAGTCGCGTCCCGCCACGATGATCTCGGTGTCGCGCGCGCCTGTGCGTGTTTGTTGCCCAGCTTGCTGAGTTCTCGGCCGCGCCGTACGCCGTAATGTGGCTTTCCGTCTTACGTCTTCCGGCTTCCATGTGTATTGTACCGTTTCTTGTGATGCGACTCCGCAGATGGGAAGGAGTTGGGTTCGGTTTCTGTTTCTCATACGACGTAGGCAGTAGGTTCAGTCCCACACGGGGTAGTTCTATTCTAGACGTGTTCTAGACTTGTTGCGATTGTAGCCGTGTGGTAGAAGCGCTGGAAGGGTGTTTTTTTTCCAGTCCAGCTTTCCAGCTTTTGGCGTCGCGGTTGTTTCTGACGGATGGGAGAGTCCTCAGGTGTGAATCTGCGCAGCGCACATGTGGCATCATCAACGGCGTTGCGAAGTTTTCGGGGATGGGATCGAGGCGACGATGAGGAGGAGAGAAAAGGATTCTGGGTAGATGGGGTATTTGCGTAGTAGGCCCACGGGTAGGGGCCTGGTGGAAGGCCAGAGGTGGCTGAGTAGGCAGTGGAGGGTAGGAGATGGGAAGGAGTTGTTTCAGAATCAGAATTTCGGTTTCCGGGTTAGGTGTCCATGTGGCGGCTTGACAGAGGGGGGGGAGAACATGATTGAAGAAACGGAAGGAGAGGAGGGGAAGAGCGAGGAATGGGTCGACGGAAGCGAGAGAGCGAGGAGGAGGGGGGAGAGGGGTGGTGGTGGTGGTGTCGGGTCTACGAAGGGTTGTCCGCTGCCCTGTCGCGTATGATGCTTACACCTATGCAGACACGCTAAGCCCTTCTCCGTGTCCGATCGGCAAACGGGGGCAAGCCGAATCGACGAGGCAGAATTCTTGCCGTCGTCGTGGACTTGTGCACGCACGGGCTCTGTCCGCCTCGCCCTCTCCCCATCATCAAATCAATAGCAAGAGCGGGAGGAGGAGTGGTGAGGAGGGTAAGGAGGGGGGTAACGCCCGCTGTTGTATAGAATACGGACAAACATATTCCATTCCATTGGTTAGCTGTAGAGTAATTAATTAATTGCTTGCCGGTTGTTTTGCCCAATTCGACCGTTATTGTCTTTCCTCTTCCGGCCGTGTCGTTTTCCCTCCTTTTCACTTTTCATACTCGCGGCTGCCGATGTTTTCAAACATCGACGTAATCATCACCCCCCTCCGTTTTCACTTCGCCCATCTTCGTCCCCGCATCCGGCGCGCTTGCAATCATCCCATCCTCCTGTCTGGTCCTCGTCTTCTTCCTTCTTGCGCACGGGCGTGCTTCTTCATCTCTCTTTAGTAATTTGACGAAGTGCCGTTCGTCTTTTTGGTGTAAAATCAAGTTGTGGACTGTTGTGAAGCCGACACGGCGGTGTCTGGGAATTTGTCGTCTTTCTCTTCCGACGGCGACGAGGAGACAGCCAGTTCGTGGCCATGTGTTCTTCTATCGTTCCTCGTCGAGGAAGGTTACGCTAAGCGCGGCTATGGTGGCGGGTTGTCCTACTATCTCCGGCCCTTCTTCTTTCTGTTATCGGTCGTAATCGTTCGGGGTCTGAAGGTGGGAGGGAGACAGGGAAAGGAGAACAGGAAGCGACAGCGGGAGCGAAGGTGTGAGCAGTGAGAAAGAGAGAGAGAATAGAAGAAGAAAAAGAAACAGGAGGAAGGAAGAGTGGTAGCGGTAGGAGGGGGATCTGCTCGATCTCTCGTTGTCTGCTGTGGAGGTGGTTCGTCGCCGAACTCTTCTGCTCCCATCCTGAAAGGATGCCCCCACATATCCGAAGAGGGCGTTTAACAGGCAGCAGAGTGCTTGTGCGCTTGAATACCTCTCTCTTAGGCGGCCCCTCCTTGTCCTCCTCTTCTTTGGCGCCTTGGGCCTCCACTTTCTCGCTCTCGTTTCCAGAGGCGAGTACCTTCTCCTCATCATCGAAAGCTCGAGACCGGGAAAAACGACTTTCTGGCCGGTCGCTGGTAGAAGGAGGAGATGCGGCCACTATGACATGGGCGGGTAATTCTGCCTTTTTTTCGTGGTTACCATTCAGCGAGGGTGGTCGCTCCCTCTTCGATTCTTCCTCTTTCTCTTCCTCTGCCTCTGCCTCACAGCTGTCATCTCTGCCGTCGCGCCGCCTCTCCGCCGCTTCGCCCGCTTATTCCTGTTGGAGTGAGGCAGTTGCTTCTCTCTTCTTCTTCTTACCATTGTCTTGCTCTCTTTCACCCTCTCAGTATATTACTAATTGACCTCTTTAGGCAAATTGTTGTCGTAGATGTCTGGAGGAGAAGAGGAGGGTGAGGGAAAGCAATTTGATTGTGAACCGTCGGATTTCAAGTCAATCAGTTGTGTTGGATCCGAAGACAGTAGTCAAGTCCAATAATAGTGTCTAAATCGAGGCAGGGGTTTTCCCTTTCATATAGGGCGAGGACGACGAGGACAGAGAGATGAAGGGGAGAAGAAACTAGGTTTGTGTACATAGCAGCCAGTCCCTGGTTGTAGTTACCTGTGATCAGGCGTTTGTTGTCATACGTGGAACATTTGCGTTTTCTTCGTTTTTCTTTTTTTTCTTGTTTGGGGGTGAACAGGTCCTTACGCCTTAACAGTCATTCCCCGATTTCATCATCAGTCGTTGTTTATTGATTATGTGCAAGTGCGCGTTTCATTAGTTTTTACCGGTCTAGCGAGGTGTTGTTAGACGTGTTTTGGCATTGTCGTTTATGAACGAGGTTATTTTTATAGATATAGCGGTAGCGAGCACAGGTATATTTCAATTTCTTGTTTGTGTTTGTTGTTGTTAAGACTTGCAGAGAATGCAGACAAAAAAGCCGCGCTCCCCCCACCCGCCCCACCTTTTTGCCTAATGGGCATATGTTGTATGAAGACTTGTATGTTTTAAATTTTTTAAAAATCTTCTTGTTAATGGGAAGAGACTTATCTTTGAAACGAGTGCGTGCGTGTATGAAACCTTTGTGAAACGACTTCACGTCTCAAATCCGTTGCAGAGGGGGGCCGTAATGAAGGAAGAATTGTCCGTTGGTCTCCCTTTCTGAACATCTCCGTGCGCGTACAATGATCATTTGTCTGTGAGTTTTTTTTTTCTCGAGTCCCATTCTTTGCGACGATGTGGTCTGCTTCGTCATCGCCCGTCGTAGTCTGTCGAGCGCAGATGTCTCTGTCTCCTGTTGCAACGCCTGCAGTTGACATGGTGCCACGTGTTGGACTGGATGAAGAATTGATGAGGATTATAGAAGGACTACAGCGATTGCCGGCGCCTATATGGCTAGACGATGAGATCGAGGTGGAGGAGCCACGATTCGAGGAGAAGCCGCACAGAAAACAGCGCGAGCGCGAGAAGAAGAGGAAGAAGCAGCCGCCACCGCCGCCGCCGCCGCCGCCGCAGAAGCAGCAACAACAACAACAACAGCAGCAGCAGAAGCAATCGGCTACTATACTGACTACTGTGTCGCCGTCGGCGAGGAAGAGGCTGGGTCAGGATCAGACAGCTGGCCACCAGTCGCATAAGTCAGGCGGTACATCGGATGCCGTTCCCGATGATCGTTGTCGGAAAGGAGAGCAGCTCTCGACAAATTCGGCGGGGCTGGCGGGAAACAACAACAACAGTGCGGATGCGGTCTGCACAGCTGCTGCTCTCGCTTCTTCAGGTGCTGCTTCTGCAGCTCTTGTTCCCGCTAGCGTTTCATCGACGGTCCCGGCCGGCAAAGCTCAAGCTCTTCCTCAGGCTGATGTCGGTGGAAATGGGAAAGGATCGGCGGCGGCGGTTGCAGTCGTCAGAAATGTCAATCTCGTGGCTGCAATGGTCTCCCCTTCTTATCCTGGCCTTGGTAATCCATCGAGGCCGTTGATCAGTCGCGGGCGATCACCGGTGTGCATTCAGGTAGAAAGCATACAGGTTTTCTCGAGGTCGAGTGGCAGTCTGTTCATCTCGGCGACTGTCGCACCATTGCCCACTCGAAGCTCGCACCGAGAGCCGGTCTCCGGTCAGCAACTCTCGGTGAATCCTACTCCGCCTACCGCGGCGGATGCGCATCCCCACTCTCCCCCCCCTTCGGGCTGCTCCTCTGTGGTTGGATTACCAACGGGGCAGGAACCCAATGTGGCGTCGGCTCCTGCTTCTTCTGCGTTGGCTGCGGAGCAACAGCCGCTCTCTCCCGTAGCAGTCAAACCTGCTGCGGGGGAGCAGTCTGTTGGATGCTCAGAGGGGTTGTTGTCGTCGCCGCCTTCGTCGTCGGCTTCGTCGCTGTTTCCTGGCTCCTCTCCTTATTGTAATGTGCGCCGGGAGGATGGATTAGCTGCAGTGGGAATGCCGCACGGGACAGCGGCGGCGGCGTCGCCAGGGCAGGTTGTGGGAGTTCCGCCGCCTCCGCTCTTCGGGATGCATCAAGATAAGAAGCGATCGGGCGGGAAAAGCAAATTCAAACCGCCGTTGAATAGGGGGTGGAAAGCGTTGTCCGCTGCGTTGGGTCTAGGGTTTCTCAAGGAGAATTCCAATCAAGGAGGGGTGGGGCATCATCATAATCATCAACAGCATCACAGTGGTAGCAGCAGCAACTGGTTCCTCGGTCCGAGTGGTAGTCATCATCATCATCAGCAGCATCATCATCACCATCATAACGGTATTGGTGGGCATTATGGACAATGGCAACAGGGGAGCCAGAATAATAACAACATCACTGGTGGTAGCAGTCACAAAGGGACTCGTCATCATCAGCAACAGCAATCTTACGCGCCAGCTTCAGCTCCTGCTCGTTCTTTGTCTCCGTCGAGCAGCGGCCGCCATCATCCTAGCCACCTGAATTTCTTCATTCCGCCGGTTCAGTCCCGATTGTTTCAGCATCAGCATGGGTACTCGTCGAGTGGAGGGGGGGGTGCTTTGTCTCCGCTTTCTCGATCGCAAGAGTTGCAGATGACGAGTTCTGATACCATGTTGGGATGGAGTGATACTGAGGGTGATGGGGATTGGACGCCGCGCAGCTTTGTCGACGACGGCGAACGGCAGTTGCGCACTACGCTAGGATACCGCAGATTAGAGCCGATGTCGGACGAAGCGGCGGCGGAACCATCGTCGGGAGGGGGCAAGAGTAGTGCGGCATCGTCGTCGACGTCGCGGAAGCGGTTCGGAGGGGGAATGGCGGGAGGAGGGGGCGCCTCCTCGGCGGCCGTTGATTTGGAGGCGAAGAGGGAGAAGAAGGTTTCGCCGGTGAAGAGGAGGTTGCACACGCCGCGTCGGCATGGTAATCTCGGGCTGGAGTTGATTGGGACGTCGGAGGGTGGAGTAGGGGGCGGGGGGGGGGACTCGATCGGGGTAGCAGCAGCGGCGGATCTGATGGACGGATTCTCAAGGACGTGGTCGTTGATGTCGAAGGGTGGTGGGGGCGCAGCGTCGCCGCCCTCGACGAGCGGCGGAACTCCGCGGCACTTGGTCGTGTCGCACGGGCGTACTGCTAGCAGCAACAATCCCTTCCTCGCCTCGTCGGATGTCGAAGGAGACGAGTCATCTTCGGGTGCGTCAGGGTGTGCATCGCCCGGAGGCTCGCGCTTCTTCTGTGTGGAGGACGATGAAGCGGACCAGATCCCATGGCTGCCGTGCTACTCCGAGAAAAGGCAAAAGATCCAAGCCATTCATTTTCTGTACGTTACGGACGACTCGGGCAATCGAACGATTTTGTCCGATGAGATCACAGACCAGTCGAAGAAGAAGAAAAGCAGTAAGGAGTGGCGGGAGCAGTGGAGACCCTGCAGTCCTTACCCAAAGGAAGCGAAAGGGCGACTCCCTGGCAGCTACTTGTTTGAGGACGAGGATGATGATGACAGTTTCATTTTTGTTAACGGTGAGAGGCTCGGGACGAACAGCGGGTTGCTCGGAGTCAAATTAAGAGAAGCTCGAGAGGCGGAGAAGAAGGTGCCCAAAAGAGAAGAGCGGCAGTCGAATGATGCCTTGGACTCTCCCACTAGACGACGCCCTCGAATATCGCAGCAGCCCCAGCAGTCCACCTCCTCTCCTTCTTATGTGTTTTCTTCCGTTTCTTTTGGTTCGGTTTGTGCTTCTTTGCGTTCTAGGTGTGCTTCCTCTCGTGGCGGCTTATCAGGAGAGGAAGAAGGCTTGGAGGTGGACGACGGTAAGGAGGGTGAACTTAGTGGTCTACCAGCCGCGCGGCCGGAATCGTCGCCAGCTCCTGGTTGCTTACCGATTTCCCCTGAGGAAGGAAGGGGAAGGAGTGTGAGGCCGCCTCCACTTGCCCTTGGCCATTGCGAGGCATTAGGGGAATCGCTTGATCTGTCAGGAGCTGGAGACGCACAGAAGGATTTGGCAACGACCCCCCGCTTCGCGGGGGCTACAGAATGCCGCGAGGCGAGACGAAAGGATGTGGATGACACGGTTGACGCCCCTGACTCTGAAGGGGCGGCGGCGGCTATGGGGCAAGAAGAATCGGGCGAGGCAGAAGGGGGCAAGCAGGACAAGGGGAATCATCATGATAGTAGTGGCACGACCTTAATTTCTCTTCGTTCTACCGCTGCTGCCTCTGTCGCGAATGCGGAGGCAAGTTCGGCCAATGAATTGAGAGCGGAGGCGGAAGGTTGCCTGGCATCAACGTATCTGGTTGCAGCTGCTGTTCGTGGCGAAGGTGGTCTTTTGGAGTGGTCCTCGACAGAGGAGGAGGCGCCTGGTGAGAAAGCAGGCAGCCTGAAGGGAACGAGAGGAGAGATGACCGGGAGTCAATCGACGGTTTCTTCTTGTTCTTCCTCTGTCGTTGTTGCCACTCGTGCTGCTAACTCCTCTTTCATGGATTTGGAGGAGGAAGAGCGTATAATGCCACCATCTCTGCCGCTGGCTGCGGAGGGCTTGGATCCTTTGGTGGCCACGGATGTGGAACGGAGGAGACCCACAGTAGGCAGTCTGGATGCGTCCGATGTGGTCGGGGACAGTGGGGACCACCGGAATGCGCGACTTTCCGGGTGGCGCAAGGAAGCGGTGGAAGCATTGGCGGCGGGAGAGCTGGGAGAGGCAGTCGAGCTGGAAATTGGCACTGGGGGGGAGAGGAGAGAAGCACCGGTTAAAGTCGTCGGACATGTCTCAGTCGAGCCGGAGGTAGGATCACTTCGACATTGGTTCCCCTCGGTCGATGTAGCGGTCTTTGGAGATGGCAATGGGAGGAAGCAGATGGTAGGGAAGGCGGACGAAGGGCGAGGAGCGCATTCAAGCGGAGGATCTGGTAGTGTAAGGTGTGACAACTTCGCCGTGGGAGGCGGTTTAGCGGATTGGAGCAGCGCGAAAGGAGAGGAGAAGAGCAGGGAAAGAGGTGCGGTGGTGGCGTCGTTACCAAGGGGAGAGTATGGGAGGGAGGAAAGAGGAGGAGGAGGAGGAGGAGGAGGAGGAGGAGGATGTACGACCGAAGCAACCTATCAGCGCGACAGTGATGGAGGTGGTGTAGTTGGCCCGAGCGGGTACCTCGACGATGACGAACGCGAGGACGGAGAGGCGGCCATGGAGCATAGTGGTGCGATCAAGGACGGGGTGCTTTTGTCGGGATGGGAGGAGAGTGGAGTCGAGATCCCGCTCGTTGAGGGGAGCGATACAGGGACGAGGGAGAAGCGGCGGAATTCGAGTGATGGCGGAGACGCGAAGAGGACGGGTCGCAGCAAGGACTCCACTGAAGGCAGAAAGAGCGGTGGTGATTGTGTTGGGAGCGCTAGCACCGGCGGCGGGAAGAGAAGAGGACGGGTCGGTCGGACATTGGAGCAGTTGGCGTTGCCCAGGTCGTCGTCGGGAGGGTTCTACGATGACATGACGACCGAGGATGACGCGGACGCCGCTGCTTGGAAAGGCGGTCGCACGTGGTTGCGCCGGAAAGAGCAGCCTATAAGGGAGAGGAGAGACTGCCTCAGGTGGTCTAATCCCCTGTACAACGCGAGTGAATCTACCTCTCCTCCATTGACGCCTAACGCCGGTGTCAGTGGGCTGTTGGTAAGAGAGTTGGAGGGAGGTGGGGTGTTCTCAAAGCTGGCAAGCGGTAGCGGTGGTGGGCGTTGTGTCTCACAGCGTCGGCCCAACTTGAGGTACAACGACGTGGACCTGATGCGATCCTCGACAGACAACGAGTCGACCTCGATAGCTGATGGTGGGGAACTCGACGCGGCGGATGTACAGAACCTAGGTGGTTGTGGTTCTATTATGATGATATCTGAGAAGAGTTTCCTAGATGTTGTGGATAATCTGGAGGATGACGTCCCGCCCGTACTCTTTGGAGAGGCGTCGTTGTTAGATGCAGAACGGAAGAAGAGAACGAAGAGCATGTGGAGGGGATGGCCGGATTTAAAGGAGCAAGGAGTTGCGAGGGAAGGGGAGGGAGGGGGAGGAATCTGTGGGACTAGGAGGGTAGAGATGGAGTTGCAAGAGGAAGAGGACGCGGGGGAAGATCTGGGCATGAGTCTGGATATGGAAGAGGAAGAGGAGGAGGGGAACGGGAAGACGAGGGTTCAAAGAGGAGGAGAAGACCGAGCGCCTTCGGTTATCGCATCAGATAGATGGTTTGGAAGAAACTCGGCGTCGCTGTTTCTGGAAAGTCGCAGAACGAGAAGAGAGAGTACGAGAGAGGTGTTGCCTGCGGACTGGAGATTGCCGTCGGACAACAGCAGCAGCAGCACCAGCAGCAGGAAATCCACGTTTCCGAGGCACATTCCCTTGGAACTTGTCGAGCCGCTGACAATGAGGGGGACTGCCTTCCGTAGCGTGTCAGGCAAGAGGGACCAAGAGAGTGGTAGAGTCAGGGAGAGGGATGTGCCTGCTTCTCCTCCGGAGGTATCGGACTCTCGCTCTTGTCGACCTTCGTTACCTGTAGCCGTTCCGCGGCTTGCGGAAGGGCAGCCGATGTGCTCGGCGCATTTCCAGTGTTCTTTTGGAAGTGACTGCCCAGACACTGCGCACGGACATTGGTACTTAGATAATAATATCACTTTCTGATCACTTTCTCCTCTCTCGTTTACCATTTCGCCTCAACCTGCTCCCCGCTCCCCCACCCTCTCTCTCTCTCTCTCTCTCTCTCTCTCTCTGTCCTCTGTCCGACTCTCTCTCTCTCTCTCTCTCTCTCCATCTCTCTCTCTCTGTGTCGATTCTCTTGATTCTATGTAAACAGCATGTGGGCGGTGGGGCCAGTTGATGGTTGCACGTTCATCTCGCACGTAACCGACTACCGACTCGTTCTGTCGCTATGTATATAATAACTCTATCCCTCTCTGGTCGGTGGCGTTTGGTTGGTGCACAACATCTGTCGTGTCGCGCGACCTTCTTGGTCAGTTATTCCCGTCTTCACATTTGCTGTGGCGCACGGCTCTCATCTGTTATTCCCGTTTCTTTGCATAGTGACGGTTGTGCAGACAGTGGTGATGAATTTTTTTGTATCATTCGATAATTATTTATAGGATGTCGAATACACTCGTCTCCGCGCTCATCTGCTGCGTGACGACGAGACACAATGGAGCGAGGGGAAGTTGGGTATTTTTTCTTCATTCACTTCTTCTGATTTTACGTATCTGTGTGGTGCGGATGGAGTTCGAGTTGTTGCTCGCTGACGACTCTTCATAGAGCTGTTAAATCATCCTGAACGATTTATTAAATTCCTTCCTTACTCTGCTTTCTCTCTGTGCTCATCAAGATCCATCCCAGATCTAATTTGATCATCACCCCTTCGTCCCTTTCTTTTTTTTTCTTTTTTTTTTTTTCCTTCGTCCATTTCCTCTTGTCCCCCTTCTCTTCGGGCATCCGCTTCAATGGAACGATACACAAGATTAGCACGGCTCCTGCGCAAGGATGGATGACACTTATACATCGACAACTGGTCTCTGTTCTTCTCTTTTTCTTCTCTCTCTTCTTTTTTCTTCTGTTTTTCTTCTCTTTCTCTTCTTTTTTCTTTGTTTCTTCTTTTTTTTTTCTCTGTTTTCTTCTCTTGTCTTCGCTTGTCTGGCCTCGCTGCCGCTGGGAAATGGCTGTCCTTTTTCCTGGTATAGAATACGTGGAAACGAACTGTACAGAATTTTTAAGAAACGCTTTCGCCGCGGCTGTGGATCGTTTGGCTGAATCCAGTCATGAGTCAGAATGCTATTTTTCGATTCATGTGATTCGTGTAATAAAATCCGACGGAGGGAAGAAGGAGAGAGGATAGGATGAAAAAAGTGCGTACGAATGTATCCGGCACAATATTTTAGGAAGAGAGGTATTCTGCATTTCGGTTCAACAGAGAGTGGAAATTGGTAAGTTTGCCTACGTGCGTTTTTTTTCTTTCGCTTTTTTTTGCCCTTCTTTCTTGAGAGCGAGTGGTTAGTTTTTTTTTTTTTTTTTTTTTTTTTAGATAGTTTTTTTTTTCTACTTGCACTCCCTCTTTTTCGCTTATGTTTTTTTTTCTCTCCCTGCCGCCTTCCCCCCGTGCCCCTCTCATTCCTGTCTTTGTCTTGGAAAAGCCTCTCTCTTTGATGATGATCATGACAGACAGCATCGTGATTGGTTGATCTGGCTCACTGCTGCGGATGCGCTATCCCCTTGATTCCGACTTCCAAGTGGGCATGTGTATACTTGGGCCTTTCCGGACCTAATCTGGCTTGAATTTCGGTCAGATGCAGTCAGTCCTAGCCTGAGTACGCCCTAAGCCTTTCTTTGTACATTTCCGTGATCACTTCCCAATCAGAGTGGCAGCAGTTTTTTTTTTTTTTTTTTTTTTTTCTTTTTGGGGAGAACATCAGAGGGGGTCTACGTCCTCAGGCAAGGGTAAGGGCAGTGATTTCAGAACCACCTACCATCTTCTCCCAAATACAATGTACGGTCATTATCGCCCTAGCTAGACTCCAAGTTACCCCAAGCACACAGCTATAATTACCGTACCTTGTGTTCCAGCGAAGACGGTAAGGCCTGTGTGCTCGTGCTATTTGCTCTTTCTTGATGCACGAATAGTCATCATCCGGGGTTTCGTCCCCGTTCTCCCACACGAATGCTCATCATCCGGGGTTTCGTCTCCGTTCTCCCATATCCATCCATTCCTTCGTTGGCCATCTCCTTTGGATGCCATCTTTCCCCCTTGCATTCTCTTATTGGGCTCCATGTATGTTCGTAACGGGGAAGTATGATCACAAATCTGTTAGCTGAAAATGAAATTCGACAATGATCACAAATCTGTTAGCTGAAAATGAAATTCGACTATGTAATGGGCCTAATGGCTTGTATACATTTATTATTTACTGAATGATAAAATCAAAGTATCTAACATGGTGTACGGATTTGTCCTTCGGGGGACATCCGTTAAACAGATGGGAACGATACAGAGAAAGAAAATTAGGATGGCCCCTGCCCATTCAAGGATGACACGCATAAATCGAGAAATGGTCCAAGGTGTACGGATTTGCTACCTTCTTCCCCCGAATACAACGTACGGTCATTATAGCTGTATCTGGACTGAAAGATGCCTCAAGTACAGCTATAATGACCGTACGTTGTATTCGGGGGAAGAAGGTAGTGACTGAATGAAGAACTCAACCGCTGGATGTACCTGCCTTGTGGCTGAATGGTAGAATACAAATATGGCTTGGATCCCACTTGGTGGGTTAGGGAGGGCATTTTTTAACTTGAAGAGGGCATTTTTTAACTTGGTACCGGGGCGATCGGTGGGCTGCAAAAAAGACTCCTGTTTCTACTCTGTGGTGGCCTCCAAAAAAGTCTGCTGTTTCTACTGCGTGTTTATGACGTGTGGGGACGGCCGCGACCCCACACGCAAAGAGGATCGGATCGAATGTCTCCAATCTGGATGTGTTTTATGCGGAGATGCAGAAAAGCAGTTCAATCTCGATTTCCTGCACCTGTTCACAAACACGTCCAGATTCGCGTTTTTTTTTTTCGGATCGGACCAATTGAAACCGGCACGTCCCTGGCACGCCCACCGCTTTCCGCCATACTTCTCGTGATAGCCGTCGAAGGTCGGGGGGCCGTGGGATTAAAAAAAAAGATATATGGGCCTAAAAAAGGGATATATGGGCCGAACGCCAAGGTGCATGCTTTCCAGGGGCTTTTCCGTTTTTTTTTTTTTTTTGAAATGCGTTGTGGGATCCAAGCCTATGGGCCTCGCTGCACTACTCTCGAAATGTGCAAAACGAGAGTGAATCTTCCGCTAGAAAATGGAAAGATACATCGCCACGGTTTGTGTCTTTCGTGCATGTCGAGAGTAGTGCAGCGAGGCCCTATATCTGCGGATTAACCCACCAGTACTTCCGAGGCACCTTTTTTTTTTTTTTTTTTTT